TTTCTCGGGCATTTTACTGTTTGGAACACTGGCTTCCTTGGATTAAGAGAAATTCAAAATTTACATCCTTTTCTTTAATTTGGTCTCTTTGTTTCCATTTGAATATGTCCTGGGAAGTTTCCTGTGGAAATGTAAACAAGCTTTGTGCTTATTTTAATCAGTTTTTCCTTTTGTTTCTAAGTTCTTGACAACCTTAGCAAATAACTCATTTTCTGGTACTTAAGGTAAAATCAAGCTGTACGCCAAGTTTCTCTTTTGTAAGAGGAAGCAGTGGGCTAAACACAAGGATGGCATTTTCGAAAGTCTTATTAACTTTTGACTGAAGAGCTAACTCCACAATAATAAAATTAATCATAAAGCAAACACACAGGAGGCCTCATATGTCATGACTACACAGGTATGGTAGACAAAACAGCCTGGTCCTGATAAAAAACAATGGGCATCAGACAAATGGAAAAGAATTGATAAGTAAATTCATCCAGATGCCTGTGGACAGTTCACCTTTCTCAAAAGAGAAACCCAACAAATAAGGAAGAGATAACTCCTCTAATAAATGGTGCTGGCAAAACTGGGTAGTCATTTGCAATAAAATAAAACAGTACTCCTACCTCACAACATATATAAAAATTAACTCAAGATGAATCAAAGCCCTGAGTGGAAACCCTGAACTATAAAGATCAACGGTGAAAAAACAGGACAAACTACTCACTTCTGTCAAGTCAGTTTTGACTCACAGTGACTGTAGAGGACAGGGTAGGATGTCCCTGTGGATTTCCGAGAGGGTAATTCATGCTTCTCCCATGGAGTGGTGGTTTCAAACTGCTAGCCTTGTCGTTACCAGCCCAACCCATAACCCACTATGTCACCAGGGCTCCTTAGGAGGAAAAAACTCAGTCATTGAGTCTCCTAAAAATCAGACACTTATATGCATCAATAGATTTCACCAAAAGAGAAGACAATCCACATAGCCAGGGAAAAAACTGGAAGGATATCTCAGATAAAGGGATTATCTCAGAAAAATTTATAGAATTTTTCAACACCTCAACAGCAAAAAGACAAAAAAATTCCAATTTTTAAAATGAGCAGAGGATATGAACACACGCTTCACCAGAAAAGATACTTAGTTGACCAAAAGATATGAAGAAAAAACACTTCAAAAATTCTAAACCAAGCTCACAGCCAAGTCAAACTGACTCAAGTCAGCTCTGATCCATAACACACCTATGTGTAAATGTAGTACACCCCCTTGGAATTTCTGAAAATTTATATCTTTATGGGGATAAACAGCCTCATCTTACTTCGGAAGAGCAACTGGTAGTTTCAAACTGCTGACCTTGCAATTAGCAGCCCAATGACATAGCAGAATAGACTTGAGGACAATGGGTTTGTTGTTTGTTGTGTTGATTTTTTACATCTCTGGACTCTTTTTGATGAAGATAGTTCCCTGCCCGACCCCAACCAAAAACTTCCTGCAAGGTCTGCTAGACTCCTCAGGCATAATAAAGCATTTGTTAATCACAAGGCCATCATAATATGCATGGTTCTCGGTCTACTGGTCTACTATCTCACTGGATAGTAGATTTTCTCACTGAAATTGGGATCCTCTTTGACATCCAGGGTTAAAGTAACCTTGGGAGAAAAGAGTTAGTTGTTAGACATTCCTCCAAGGGTGTTCAGTGAACTTTAATGAAAATTTAAGTACAGAGGTCAAAGGGACATATCTGTCTCATTTCTGTTGGTGGGTAAACAAGGTGGAACAATATGCCACTGGGAAAAATGCTTAACCTTACTTCTAGAGAGCCCCAAGGGGAGAATACATCCAGTATTATGGATACTCTGGACCTAGTTTCAGTTCAGCCCTAGGGGATCCCCACTGAATGCTATAGACAAGCAAGACTTCAGACTCTCTCCTTTCAAGGTGCACAGTATCTTTCAGAGGCCACACTTTACCTTAAACTCACCTGTCACAGACTTAAGGAACTGAAATACTTCCTTGGACTTCAACTGAAACACCCTAGGCCCTAGTGTGAGAAGCAGCAGATGATAGCATCCCCAAGGCTATGGAATTGGAGGGTCAAGTCTCTTTTTGTTCTGTGTAAGTAGAAACTCCATGTATGTTAGTCTAAAAGACTGTCCTAAACATGTATACTTTTCTCAAGAGTATTTTAAATTCTATTTCATTGGCTAAATTAATGATGCACTCAATGGACTTACCGTATGGCCCATGGGGGTGATTTATAAAGTTCCCAAATAAAATGGTGTCAGTAAAAAATGAACCAGAGACTTATATAAACTATGGATACATGAATGGGTGTTGAGCTCACACTCAATTGGAGCCCTAATCTAAGAGAAAATTGTTTTTATGACGTGGCCTACTTGATACTTTCTCGTATCTCTTGGAGATCTCTTTCAATGATCTCCAAGAGAAAATATGGGTGTAATAGCAAAGTGTGGTGAAGAAATCAGATGGTGCCCAGTTATCAGAAAGAATAGTATGTGGGGACCAGTGGTGTGAGTGGCTAAACAGGGAGGGTAAAGGGAGAATGGGTAGGAAAGAGGGAACCGATTACATGGAACTGTGTGTGACCTCCTCCCTGGGGGACAGACAACCGAAAAGTGGGTGAAGGGAGACGTCGGACAGGGCAAGATATGACAAAATACCCATTTATAAACTATCAAGGGCTCATGAGGGAGGGAGGAGCGGGGAGGGAGGGGAAAAATGAGGACCTAAGGTCGGGGGTTTAAATGGAGAGAAAATGTTTTGAGAAACGATGTACAAATGCGCTTTACACAATTGATGTGTGTATGGATTGGGATAACAGTTGTATGAGCCCCTAATAAAATGTTAAAAAAAAAAAAGGAATAGTATGTGGGGTTTAATTTTTATTTTATTCTCTGAAACAGCTTTTTATTAAACAGCAAATCAGAAATGCAGCACAATTTTCAAATGTTTGTAAATTAGGTCACAAAAGCACGGTGACTATTATGTATCCAAACAAATACATGTAACAAATCATGCTTCCATCAATGTAATCATAAGATTATTCCATGATTAACAGTAGCCCAAGTCTAATAACCATAAACTATGTTAGCAGATCTATGGTAATTAACAATTCAATATTATTTCTGATGCCATGTTTAAATGGAACTGTTAGATCTCTCTCGTGGGAGAAATATACCTCAGTCCTTGGCTTCTCTCGAGAAAGAATTCACTCTGAAGCCTGTATTGTGACCCAAGTGAGTTTTATGAAAGGCAGAAGAAGTTTCAGGCTTACACAGGCACCTCAGGGCCCTTCACACCCACGCGTGGAGTCTGGGGCACGACCTCTGAGGAGCAGCTTGCGAAGCAGAAGGGGCAACAAGGCTCTGGACTCTGGCTTTTCAGGTCCTGGACTGGAAGGTGTGGTCGAGGATCCTGGTCGACCCCATTGGCTGATGAATTCACCTGGCCAATTCAGATGGGCCAATCCAGGTGTAGCGCCCACCTAAGTGTACCACCCCTTCCTGGCTGGAAGCTTGAACCTCTGAGCATGCACAATGGACACCCCAGTCCTTATGCTAGCTACCTAACAGAACCTACAAATAAATTCTTAAAAATTGTTTAATAAAAGAATGTCTAAGTCTCTGTAAACCAAAGAATTGGACTTACAGAAAATTCTGGGAGAAGTGGTCCGAGAGAATACGGAGGACGGCTATCAATTAGTACACATGAAAAACGCTCCCGTTTTCTTCATGATTCTGATACTAATATATTCAAGAAATTTGTGCAAAAGATGATCTTCTAGGCACTATAAATCACAGATTCCCAAACATCAGCTTACTTCCCCCTTTTCAGGAAAAATTACAAAAATACTCAACGTTCCCCTGACAATTCAAAACTTTTGTACTGTAGCCCATCATCCAGGATTAAATGTAGGTAATGGTTTTGCAGGCCCCTGGATCACTCCATCACCCCCAGGGGGTGGTATGGCACACTTTGCGAAACACTGCTGTAAAAACACATTTAAAGACCAAACACTTTATAATTGTTGTCTTCTAGATTTGGTTTACATTGTTGGTCAGACTTAAACCCATTTTAGTTGTAACCCATCAGTTGTAATACAGAAGGTATAAACTGTGGAAGTGACAACACAAATTTGGAATGAAGACATTTGGAGTTGGTTACTACTGCTTCCTAAGTATTTTCGGCCCTATATCTATTTTCCCTAAGATTTTATCTTTTACCCATACACAACCAGAACCATCCGATACCAAATCAACCATCTTGTGTAAAGGGAAGTGTTGACCAACACATCTTCCCAATTTGAAAATTCATAGTGTCGAGAACTAATGTCTATTTTTATTCAATTTATTAAAAATAAAAAAATATCCTAATTGATTACTCAATATAAAAAATTGACAAACCTTAGCTGAGAACCTTATATTAAGCTACAACAAGGTTAGGTGACCCTCATAAATGATTAACTAGTAAAATTACTTTTATAAACTAGTAAAATCACTTTTAATATCTTTCTTGCTTTCCTAAGGGGCAGGGAGATGGGAAATGGAGAGACCAGTGAATAAGAGGCCCAGCATGGTGGACAGGGTGCATAGAAAGCTGTGCCTTCAGTACAGGGTTTGGGTCAGTTTTTCACAGCTTGGTAGTTATTTTCTTGTATCATCTTTATACTACACCTCTAATAAAAGGCAGTGCTAAACCTAAAATTGTAAATTTGATAAAACATTCAGTTTAAAGTTTTCATAAATACATGTGATTCTAATTGTAGTCTCTACAATACATTGGCACATTTCCATTGACTAATATACAAACTCAGAGTCTCCTGTCCTGTTCTTGGCTCTCTTAACTTTGCCCAGACCTGCCTTTCTCTTTATAAATACTCAATGAAGCCACAAACAAAGATACTATAACTTTTGGAATATATTCAAGTTTTAAAGGAAAATAAAGCTGGAAAACAAACTCGCAGCAATTCTGTAAAGCACAGAGGTTCTCACGTCCTTACTTTCTTTTGCTTTTGTGTCCGTTGTTTGAAAAGCATGAGAAACAGACACGAGGCTTTCCATAGACTGTCTAAGAACTTGGCTTTCTGATTTTAGCTTTAGATTTTCTCCCTTAACTCCATCTCCTCTTGCAGAGAGATCTTCAGGTAGGTGTGTTGCAGTTATAACACTCGATGAATAAGCCAGTTGTTTTTTTCCAGTTCCACCTGATTCTCAGCATCAATTGTGTCCATGTTCACATTCATCACTTGGGAGAACAAACTTTTGGACCTTGATTCAGAATCTTTGGTGAATGGTCCAGTCCTTCAGCCATTGGCACTTAAAACCTCAGCTCCAGCTGCGCTTAAAGCCTCAGCTCCAGCTGCCTAAGCTTGGACTGCATTCACCTTCTGTTTGAGACTCTGAAAGGGGCAGGGATTGCATCCTGGGTTTTAAATGCTTGTCTTAAAACAAGCAGCCATCTAAGTGAGGTGTCAGCTCAATCCACACAAAAGAAGCACACCACAATCCTGTGTGATCCAAGGATTGTAAAGAATAAAATCCAAGATTGGAGAAGGGGATGGTATTGGAGTTCATATTCAGAGCAACCTGTTTGCAGAAGGCTATGGATGACAATGAAAGCCAAAAATCCACTTTCAAGATCTCCATATGGATTAAGCACCTGGTGAATCTCCTCTAACCATTGACTAGGGATGTGAAAATCTTACTATCAGACAAAGCATACTGGAAAGTGGACAAATGCAGAAGTTTAACATGTTTTTCATCCCTTTTGATCTTTAAAATGTTTTGTTCTCTCTTGTTCTTCCTTTTGATCCATTTTAATTTTTTTCTAGATTTCAATATTTTCTGCTTCATTTTTATTGAGATTTTCCTATTTTATTTTGTTATTGTTGTGGGCTTTATTTTTGGGTTTTTTTAAATGCTTTTCTTTATATAAAATCTAGGATAAGTAAATCTATAGACAATAACTGGATTAATGTTTTCTTAAGGTTATGATTGGGATATTGGGGAATACAAGAGGAAAGTGTTATGAAATTGATGGTAATGATTGCACTACTTTTAAAATGTATTTAAACCATTGAATTATATGACCTGTGGATTAAATGTCAATAAATCTGTTGAAAAAAATGTAAGTTATTTGTTTGAAGTTAGAGATGAACAGAAAGGAGAAGCACCCTTCTTCCCCAAATTGGGCTGAACTATGACACTTCCCTAAAGATCCTAATTCATATACTTACCATTAAAATTAGCTCAGCATTTTATGGTTTATTCATTCCATGCTTGAAGTTGCATACATGACAATATCCCTTTGAAAAGAAAGTCTTAAAGGTACAAATTCCACATCATTTTGTTGAATTAGAACCTAACTGACACTCTTAGCTACAAAGCAGAATTTTGTTCAAGGGGTTTAGCTTCATTGTTGATGTGAAGTTGCATGCAGATAATCAGCTTTTTTTAATAATCATTTTATTAGGGGCTCATACAACTCTTATCACAATCCATACATACATCAATTGTGTAAAGCGCATTTGTACATTCATTGCCCTCATCATTCTCAAAACATTTCCTCTCCACTTAAGCCCCCGGCATTAGGTCCTGGATAATCAGCTTTTAAATAAAAAAACATTCATGATTCAAATTTAGTTCGGGATCAGTGAGTACAGATGTGAACTTTTCATTTCTAGTAGAGTGGTTGCAGATGCGCATTTAGATTCATGTAATAAGACAATGCTCCATGAGAAGCTGAGCAGAGCATTAGAAAGTCATGGATAGTCTATGAAATGTTCTACGGGAGGAAACACCCCCAGAATCTCAAACCATGGCCTATATAGGGTTTCCAGGGATTTTCAAATCTTTGCAGAAGCAGAGCCTCATCTTTCTCCCCCAGAATCACTAATGAATTTGAACCCCTAATGTTGAGGTTAGCTACCCAATGTTTACTTGACAGTGACACCAAAGCTCCTAGCGGAGAAAAAATTCACTATAGTGGAGTCCATTCTAACCCACAGCAACCCTGTACATCAGAGAAGAAATGCCCTCAAGGCTTAATGAGACTGTAAATCAGTGTGAGTAAAAAGCCTTGTTTTTCCAATTGATCTGTGTATTGTGATGAATTGTATGAGCCCCAATAAAGTGATTAAAAAAATAAAAATAAAAAAGCTATATGTTAAAAAAAAAAAAAGCCTTGTTTTTCTCCCTTAGAGAATCTGGTGATTTTGAACAACTGACCATGTTAGTAACCCACTGAGGAACCTATTGTGACACCGGGACTCTCTTTTGGGAGAAAAAGAAGGAAAAAAAACACCTCGCTGTCACGGAGTTAATTCTAACTCATAGTGGCCCTATAGAATCGAGTTGAACTACCTGTGTGTCTCTGAGGCACACAACCATAACAGTGTTCAAGAATTCCCAGAAGTGTGGTCCCTTAAATAGAACATGGAGAGCAAAGAAAAATGCCACAAAATCATAGTTGGTGGCAGATCGATTCCTTGTTGTAAGCAGGACTACAGAAGCAGGACATAGAACATAATTTGGATATGTACAGTACTATAGATTTAGAAAAGTTTACAAGATTGGTTCAGTGTCCTCTGCCGAAGACAGTCACAGTGTGATTCATGACTATGCAGACCCTAGTATACCAGTCATCCCCACCACTTTTCTGGCAGTTTGTCATACTGTGGTGCTGTGATGCTGAAGGCTATGTCACTGGTATTTCAAATGCCAGCACAGTCACCCAAAGGGGACAGGTTTCAGAGAAGCTTCCAGACATGACTGCGAAGAAGGACTTGACTGCCCATATACCTTTAAGCTGAAAACCTTAGGAATAGCTTCTAAACACTTTAAGATACTGACAGCCTAATGAATGGAAACAGAACATTGTCAGAAATAGTGCCAGAAGGTGGACCACTCAGCTCAGAAGACACTCAAAATGTGACTGAGGAGAAATTGCTTTCTCAAAGTAGAGTCAACCATAGTTACAGGAATGTGGGTGGGGAGCCTTCGGGATCATCACTTGCTGTGAGGCGCAAATCCAGGTGAGAAGAAACCTGCAAAACCCTAATGATTGGAACATGGAATGTACAAAGTATGAATATAAGAAAATTAGAAGTCCTCAAAAATGAAATGGAATGTACAAAGATCAATATCCGAGGTGTTCATTGAAATGGACTGGTATTGGCCATTTTGAATCAGAAAATCATAATGTTAGTATTTCAGGAATGACAAAATCAAGGTTTGCATTCATAGCCAAAAGGACACTTCAAGATATATATTGAAGTATAATCCAATCTGTGATAGGATTATATCTCTCTGCCTTAAAGGAAACCCAATCAGTACAGTTATCATTCAAATATATGCACCAACCACAGAAGCTAGGATGAAGAATTTGATGAATTCTACTGACTGCAGTTTGAAATTGATCAAGTATGTAATCAAGATGCATTGATAATTATTGCTATTGTTAATTCAAAGTTGGAAACAAAGAGGAAAGAACAGTAGTTGGAAGATATGGCTTGGTGATAAACAAAGCTGGCAATTCTATGATAGAATGTTGCAAGATCAACAACTTATTCATTGCAAATACCTGCCAACAACACAAAAGGCAAGTATATACATGGACTTCTCCTGGTGGCATACATAGACATCAAATTGACTGCATATGTGGGAAGAGACACTGGGAAAGCTCAAGGTCAGCATCTGAAACCAGGCCAGGGGCTGGCTGTGGAACAGACCATTAATTGCTAATATGTAAGTTCAGATTAAAGCTGAAGAAAATTCAAACTAGTCCACAGGAGCCAAAATACCCCCTTACATCTTTTCCACCAAAAATTTCAAGAAGAGATTTGCTGCATTGAACACCAATCACCGAAGACCTAATAGCAAAGGACATCAAGAACATCATGAATGAATAAACCAAAAGGTCATTAAAATGGCAAGAAAGAAAGAAAAGATACAATTGGATATTAGAAGAGACTCTGGAACCTGCTCTAAATCATAGAGTAGCTAAGGCAAATGGAAGACATGAGGAAGTCAAAAAGTTGAAGAGAAAATGTCAAAGAGCAGCTGGAGAAGACAAATGCAAACATCACTGTGAATTGTGTACAGCTCTAGAGTTAGAAAACAAGAAAGGAAGAACATCCTCAGCATATATTATCCAGAATGAGCTAAAGAAAAACTCAAGCCTTGAATTCCAATATTGAAAGGTTGCAAAGGCAATATATTGAATGATGCAGGAAGCACCAGTAGGAGATGGAAAGAATACACAGCCTCATTGTACCAAAAAGAATTTGTGGACAGTCCACCATTTCAAGAAGTTGCATATAAGCAAGAACCAATGGTACTGAAAGAAGTTCAAGCTGCACTGAAAGTTGAAAGTATTAGCCAAAAACAAGGCTCCAAAAATTGATGGAGTACCAATTGAAATGTTTGAACTGCAGGGGGAGCAATAAAAGCATTTACTTATCTATGCCAGGAAATGAAGAATATCGCTACTTGACCAAATGACTAGAAAAGATCCTTAACTATACCCATCCCAAAGAATATACAAATTACAGAACGATATCCTCGACATCACATGTAAGTAAATTTTGCTGATGATATTCCAACAATGGTCGTAGCAGTACATTGACAGGAAGCTGCCAGAGGTGCAGGCAGGATTCAGAAGAGGACGTGGAACAAGACATATCACTGCTGATGTCAAATGGATCTTTGCTGAAATAAAGAATACCAGAAAGATGTTTACTTGTGTTGTATTGAGTATGACAAGACATTTGACTGTGTGGATCATAACAAACTGGAGCCGAATGTGAATTCCAGAATACTTTGTTATGCTCATGTGAATGAATCTGTACCTGGATCAAGAGGCAACTGTGCGAAGAGAACAAGGGAATACTGCATAGTTTAAAACCAGGAAAGTGTTTATCAGGATTGTATCCTCTCATCTTGTTTTTTCAATCTGTGTGCTGAGCTAATAATCAGCGAATTTGAATGAGATGAAGAAGAATGTGGCATCAGGAATGGAAGAAGGCTTCTTAACAATCTAAAATATGCAGGTAATAGAACCTTGTTTGCTGAAAATGAGGACTTCAAGCATTTGCTGGTGAAGATCCAGGATTGCAGCCTTTAGTATGGATTACAACTCAATGTAAACAAGACCAAAATCCTCATAATTTGACCAAATAGGTAGCATCATGATAACTGGAGAAAAGATAGAAATTGTCAAGGATTTCAACGTGCTTGGATCCAC